GGTTTTGCTCCGGTGAAGTTTTCGCTTCTGTCCCTCGCCCGGCTTGTTCTTCCCCGTGGATCCCGCGCACAAGGCGCTAGCCACTCATTTCAAGTGACTATTCCCAGGTGTTGCATTATCAACTTCCAATCACCTTTTTCCCCAAGTGCAACACAACTGTGGAACACTTTTCACCCCTTTCGGTCTCCCCTCCCACGTACAACATCCTTGCCTTTAAACGCAGGATCGACAATTTGAATTTAGCTTGAATATTCCCCTCACCTTCCCAAGTACCGTATATCCTCGGATCATGTGGTTTACACGTAAAAAAACAAATCGTTCTATTTGGCTTCCAAGATCGTTCACTACATGGCACAGGGTCGTAGTACGATTCACCACCGGATGAGAATGTACGTGATTAGAATATAAATCGTGAGAATCAATAGCGCATCTCACTAATTTGTTCTCAGATGTCTCAGTGCTAACGCTCAATTGTCTCTTTCGAAATAACTGCACAATGGTTAAAAACACATTTCCCTCTTTGCATTTTTCACAATTTAAATCACCTCTATTTGAAGCAAAGAAAATCTAGTTCAATCTTACAAGATACTCAGGTGCTTCAGTTCATCCTGTTGATGTTTTTCATCTTCCAAGGCCGCGACCTCCACACACACCCCCCCCTCCCCGCCCCACCCCACCCACTTTTCCTGAGTGTTGATTGTATATTCAATAAATAGGAAATAAAATAAAAATACAAGACACAACACATTTGATCAACCGCCCGGAAGAACAAGTTTTGGTTTCAGTTTGAACAGCCATTTACCATGCACTTTTGTGAGGCGATTTCGCTTGTTGTCTTTTAGCTGTTCATTTAAACAACAGATAGTGAGCAGATTGGAATGTCAAATCACAGTTCTTCGTGTCCATGGATTTTATCTTATTTATTGTTCATCACATTGTGTAATAAAAATGTATAGTACATCTTTTCATTATGGAGCAGGGTTACTTTAAGAGTGATTACCATAAAAATGGATAATACTTTTGTGCAGCTTCATCTGAAGCATGTTTTCATTTCAAAACTTAATCCGCCAGGCACCGTACTAGTGCCATCGGTGATTGAAACAATTAACACGCCATTCGAAAGATGTTTGGTGATCGAAAACCATTAGGAAAGTGGCAACTTCAGTTTTAAACATTGGGATACTTTGGGTTTCTTCTCCCTTAGAACTCCACTTTGATTCAACTGGCTTACTTACCGACTAATCCGATGCCGGATTATCCTACGGAGATATATAGAGTCAGGGCTCAGGCTACTCGCCCTCGTAGCCAAACAGTAGGACAGTAGGAGGTTCATTGTTCACGGTGATGAGATGTATTTCTCACACTGAAACTGTCCTGTGTTGTGATGTGATGCCTTGTGCACCCCGCTGAGCCAAGCAGCTAGACAGGTGGGCTGTTTTTTAAGCCCGGGAAACCGAAAGGTAGAGCTCAGACAAGAATCCGATCTCCTGGTCCTCCAGATTGAGGGGTTTGACCCTGGTCGGTGTCTCGATCGGTGAAAAAAATGATGGAAGAGTAATTGACCCACGCAGATGGGCCTTCACTTCGCTTTAACCGCTACCTTGCGATCAGGTTCTGGTCAGAACTGAGGGCTTTGGTTGAGAACTCGAATCGGTCTCCTGCTTAGTGGTTGGACTTAATACCCGTCCATAAAGCTCCAATGAACACGAACTAAAAATAGTTCCTAACCGTATGAGATTCTACAGCTCCAATACTAATGCCCGAATTCGCATCTACGGTGAGGAGTCATGCGCGTTCGAGTTAAGATTTGGAGTACGACAAGCAGTGCTTATTACCCCAAATGTGGATCAACTTTGTCGTTGACTGTTTAATGGGTGGTTTGATGGCAAGATACCATGGACTGTTTCCTCTAGAGAGAAGACGACCAAGGTTAGGAGCTCCAAGATTGTGAAAGAACTTTCGGGAGTCAGAAAAAGCATTCTTCAAGAAGCTATTCATCATCCCACAAACGAGGAGGAATAGGCACAAACTTCATAATTTGGTTGTTAGATCAAGTTTCTTTAGTAACTGTATCTCCAAAAGCCTCAGTATGCTCGGGGGTGGGTGTCTAGGGTTGCGGTTGGTCACCCTGCCCTCGCACCTCACGAAATGCTCCCATACGACCAAGTGTCTCAAATAGCCTCTGCTGAAGAAGCCCTTCTCACTGCCTTCTCGTGGCAGAGGTATTTTCCCACCAAAGTGAGAGGACGAAAGGCTGATATCCGGGGCTATAGCCGAGTTGGTGGATCACTGGCAGTTCACCTAGGGGAGTTGGCCGAAAACCCTGATTCCAAACCAACCGCCCCGCTGCCTTGCGGGTCAGGCTTTGGCTAGCCGAAGGCTCCGGTTGTCGATTCCTCAAGAAAATTCACCTGCCTTGGCCTGGGCAACCTGGCAGTACTCAGCCCACAAGCCAATCTGGAACATTTTCTTTTTATAAAGATTATTGTACCGTGATTTGTTTGGCACATAGTCTGTCCTCAGACAAGTGTGAATAATAATAATAATAATAATAATAGAGACTGTATCACAGATTTAATTCGTAAAACAGCTCTACCCTCGTGTGAGGATAATAGCATTGATTTTCTCCCAGATGACAGACTGACTGATTTGGAGTATTCAGACGACATTGTACTACCAAGCGAAGATCCAGGTAAATTGCAAGCTTTTCCGGATAGTTCGAGTGCTAGTATAGCCATGTTTGGTATGCGTTTTGCATCTTCAACGTGCAAAATGTTCCGAAAAGATTGGTTGAGTTGCAGCAGTTTGGCCAGTCCTGCTATACGGTTCAGAGCCTGGGCCATTATGGGAACAGGATAAAAATAGATTGAATGTGGTTGAGCACTGCTGTCTACGCCACATTACGCGAGTCTGGTGGGGAAACCGGACAAGCAATACTGAGGTTTGGAGCAGTTTTAGGTAATTGCGGTCATCCACTGGAGCAAGTGCTCGACTTCCATGGATTGCGTTGGTTCGGACATGTGTAATTACATAGGTTGCCACGGTGAGCGATGTTTGCCTAGGCAAGTAGTGAGTGAGAAAAGGCCGGTGACCAAACTAGGACCTGGCATAAGGGTATGAAAACCCTAATTAGGAGGAGTCATATGAGTCGTGTTCGGTTGCCTGACTGGGGACCCCAAGATTATGGTAACCCGTGGTTAGAGAAACTGACTGAAATAGCTGAGTGTCGTAAACAGTGGGGCTTATGTATCTACTCATTATTCTTGCAACCCGAGACTATATGAATTCTCTTTCTTCTCTCTCAACACTCCAATCTTAATTCTGCTCTTTCATCCCAAAAGGACGGCCAAAAGTTAGCAACCAAAATCAGCGCACCAAAAATACTTGGCGAATGGCTGGAAAACTGAAAGAGTAACGGAGCAGTCAACATCCACAACCGGTTGCCAAAGGAAAAATTAGAATCGAGAAGTATAGACGCGTTTAGGCACTCCTTAGATGAACAATGAAAGGAGTTCTTCCCAGCGCAGGATTATCTGTATATTTCCATGATACATGACCATTGACTGCCGAACTTCAGTCTCACCGATCTGGAATTTCCTGATAGTATTGTCGTCCATTGTGAAGACACACCAACCTCCAACTAATCGTTTACCGCATCAAACAAAAGGCCCCCGAGATCGGCCTAGGGGTGAAAACATCCAAAACCAAAACGTTTGCGGTAGTCCGAGCTCATTCCAAAAGATGTTTTACTACTAAACGGAGAGCCGATCGAATCCATCGAAAACTTAAAATACCTGGGCTTAACCATACTTCCCAACGGCCAAGCTAAAGACAGGGTACAACTGCGCGTCAATGATGCGCGAAAGGTACTTCGAAAGCTGAAGAATCCCCTCTGGTGTAGAAGGATCAACCAAAATACGAAAATACGAGTTTTGTCCGCATTGGTCCATTTTGTCTTGCTGTACGGCTGTGAAACATGGTTACTTAGAGTCTAAGATCAAAAGTCTTCAATCATTACTGCCTAAAAATCATTCTAGAAGTACGACGGAGGAATAATCTCCCAAAAGAAGCGGTCAGAACACGATGTTTCAATACCATACCGGTACGGAAGATAATAAAGCGGCAGCAACTACAATGTTTGGTCACATACTCCGTAAATCTGACAAGGACCTGACCAAAGCTGCCTAGGCGCCGTCTCCCTACCCAAACTGATGCCGCCGGATAACTGGAAACCTGCCTAGACATGCTCTGTCAACGATAATCGTTAATAGAATTCAGTTAGGGTCATAATCTGTGCATGGGCGGCTGCAATTCGGGGCATCGATGAAGCCGGCCTATCCCCTCCCACGAGCCAGTCGCCGTTAGGTAAAGTAAGCAAAGTATTCATTTGATATACGGAATATATACGATAACGTCACCAAATCATCACCCAGGGAATGTGTTCGAATCCCACAACTACCGCCTAACTTCCCCCTTGTGTGCTGAATGGCAACCCTTTGATTGGCCGCTCCCTCCTTCCAGAAAATTGTATCTTTGTATATTCGATTCAATGAAAAGAAAAAAAGAAAAGATACCATGGGAAATCCATAAGCGGCAAAGTAGTAGTGAATGACATCTTAATCGTAATGAGCCTCTGATGTTCATACCATGGTTTATCAACCAGGAACAAACCTGGCAGCTCTGCTCACCTCCCAAATTTCCATTTATCTGACTATGCCCTGAACGTTTTTCCCGGTGAGAAAATTCAAACTGTAAAACTGATATAGAGTACCAAGCTTGGGTTAGCCCATTAGGCTGTTCAGAGGCATCAGACACTCTTAATGGTCATGGGAAAAATCGATAGTTCCTAACTTTATACCCAATGAATGCCTACGAAATGCTTCATCAAATCAATAATTGTTGAACTGAAATTATACATCCCAGACTTCCGACAGGTGAATCATATATTCACTTCCAAAATACAGGCGACAACATACATGATTTGAAACAAACCGTGAAACTCATGAACTGCAGTGAACAGTGAAAACACCACGGAAATATAACTGCCTACTGACCTTGGCACGCAAAGGATTCTCCATGCAATCGAACATGTCCGGTTGGGCAGCTTCGCGCAACGCAAACAAAGCATCCACAAACGGAAGACCCGTTTGTTCAAAATTGCTGGCCAGATACACGTTCGTAGACGGTTTTTTGCCAATTAGTTCGATTTTTTTGGCATTACTCTGTTCCCACTTGTTACGGTTGGCCGCGGCTAGTACTTCTCGTGCTGAATCTTGACGTGCCCGAGACTTCTCACTCACGGATCCAACCCCAGATACAGCTACCCTCGGTCTTCGAGCATTACCTTTCCATAAACACTGGCTAACTGAAATCCTCCGGAGCCCAAGACCAAGGACAGGCACAACTGTTCCGCGGAAAGTATGTAGTGTGTTCAGCATGGTGTCCTCCAAATTGGCAAAAAAAACCTGGAAATCAAAATGAAGGAAAGCATTCCTGGTAGATGAAAACTCGAAAAGTGATGGCTTTTGTGTCCGAAATTCAGCTTTTAAAATCATAAGCTTTACTTCAAGCAACCAATGGATGGATGTGTATGCACTGGCGTAAGCATGAAGACATGTGTATCTATGTATATTGGGATATATGGAGTATCAGTCGATGGAATATGCCGTGCCTCAAAAGGATACTTCTTTTGTCAGCATTTAAAACCCAGGTCTCACTTGGAGAGTACTAGTAAATGCAAACAGAAAACAGAGGATGCACTTCGGGATAACGGAACAGGAAGGCCAACAGAGATATCTGGATTTTAATAAAGTAAGGAAAGAGGCAATTTCCGAAGAACTAGGTGGGCAATATTGGTATCCTAGCCCTAATGCGGTGCTCGCTGTTACTACTGTGATTTATAGCACCTGCACCTAACGATAGAGAATAAACCACTTCCACTGATGTCCCGAATAGAGTGAGCCCACTCTTAACAGTCGGCAACCAATGCAGTGTGATCTACCCTGTCACCAAGCGGCGATTTGGGCATACAAATCGATGACCAAAACGTTTTGGGTTTTGGCACACAGTGCTCAAAAATTTAGCTGGTCACCAAAGGACAGCACCAAAAATGGAGCAGGCAAGTGATGCCTTGTGCGACTTCGGTTGGGTATGCAAAATCCAGGCCTAACTGAATAGAGGCATCTCTGTTGTACCAGCGTGCCAAACAGACTGGCATTAAAACAACTGCTTGTGACGTCTTTGTTCGCGGGTTGATCTTTTATTTTTATTACCATTATTGTGCATAGCCGAAGTCGATTCCGGGCTTACGGCACTTTTTCTCCCGAGTTCACCACGGAAAGTGATGTTCGTCAGGGTTGCCCTCTCTCTCTCCATTTCTATTTAACTTTGTTATAGATCTGATTATGGAAACGGCCCTATCCTCGTGCGAGGATAGTGGCATAGATTTACTCCAAGTGGCAGTCTGTCTGATCTAGAGTACGCAGACAACATTGTGCTACTAAGTGAAGATCCAGGTAAGTTGCAAGCATTTCTGGATAACTTCAATGCCAGTGTATCCGTTTTGCACCTTCAAAGTGTAAAATGTTACTACAAGACTGGGTTGGTCCAGCACCCAGCCTCACTCTGACTGGGGAAGTAATAGAGCAGGTGGATAAGTTTTGTTATTTGAGCAGCTACATCTCACCCGGTGAAGGCATCACGGATGAAGTATCAGCTCGCATACGGAAGGCTCGGTTGGCATTTGCCAACTTGAGGTGTCTGTGGCGCCGTCGCGACATCCGGCTGTCTGTGAAGGGTCGAGTGTATGCTGCGACAGTTCGGCCAGGTCTGCTATACGGTGCAGAAACTTGGCCATTAAGAAAACAGGATAAAGACAGACTGTCGGCGTTTGAACACCGCTGTCTACGCAGCATTGCACGAATCTGGTGGGGTAGCCGGACAAGAAATGCTGAGGTTAGGCGCAGAGTTTTGGGTATCCGCAGTCGCCCACTGGAGCAAGTGGTCGACTCAATAGATTACGTTGGCTGGGGCATGTGTTACGCATGTCACAAGGTAGGTTACCACGGCAAGCGATGTTCGCCGAAGAAGACACCGAGTGGAAAAAGCCAAGGGTGGTCAAGGTAAGACCTGGCATGAGGGTATGAAAACCCTAACCAGGAAACTGGGTCACATAGGTCCTGTTAGGCTCCCTGGCTGGGGACCTCGAAATGATCGTAACCGATGGTTAGAGACACTGAGTGATATGACTGGGTGTCGCAACTAGTGGCGTTCGTGCATCTTCTCAATCTCTTTGCAACCTTAGACCATTGAACTTCTCCCTTTTCTTTTCGACTCCACTTTCAACTTTCCTTTCTGCTCCTATTCTTCATCCAAATGGGCAGCCAAAAGACAGCGACCAAAATCGGCGCTCGAATATGCGCGGTTAGTGGTTGTTCAAACTGAAACTGAGCCCGCTTCAAGAATTTGGCAGCCAAATCGTACATTCTGGCTTTATTCGAGACCGAGGCTCTCTAGAAAATGTGCAGCGTAGGGTCAGAAACTATTACATGGTTTGTCGCAAATCCTTCACCATATTCGATTCAATCAGCTAAACCTTTATCCTATATATATACGACATATCAGAGGGAATCTATTTCTTCCTCATAACCTCTTGCCTTCAGGTCTAGTTGGTTGTTTCTTTACACGTTCTAGTCTGGAACATTTATGGACACCCTGGAAAAAACTTCAAACATCGACCTATATCCTTCATTCACTCCAACTTCCTCACGCGCAGGATCATCTCTGAATGGAATAAACTTCCACAGGAGCTTGGGAATTTACTCTCTAAAAGGGTATTTAAAACCCTGCTAAGCTTGCATCTAGGACTCGCCCTACAGAACTAAATGGCCTGCATCCATTGGAGGATATCCTCCACTCTCTTCCTCCTTCACTTTTCCCTTTCTCCTCTCTCTTTTCACTCAATGCATGCAAACAAACCCAGCAGCACCATATTGGAGCCCGCGGCCTTTTACCACTAACCTCCTTTTTAGCTCGTGTGCCGAATAGCAGAAAAGAAGACAAACACAGAACCGGACCATTGGGAACGAGCCTCGAACCTGAGTACTACTTTAAGATCTTCAAGACATTCTGAACCTCATCCTAATAACACCGTGGTCACTTTTGTCTACCGGATCCCCTAAGAATCTTCCCCGCACTTCGTTGGGGAATTAGGTGCACACCAGGTTTAGAGCAGAAGCGGTCTGACCGAATCTCCATCTGGTCTCTCCGGTGAAATGTTGGATCAGGGCCTTTCGACGCAACATCCGAAGTAGGCTTTCCCCAAACGACCTCAGCGGTGCTGCTTCAGTAGGGCGTTGAAGTCCCCTATTAAAAGCAATCCACCATTAAACCTAGGCTGTTCGGCCACCAGCGCTAGTAGTAGTAGTTTTTTCAGCCGTGGTTTATGGGCTCCGGTAGACACCAAGTACCGATAATGGATGCTAACTCCGGTGCTTACACATTCATGTTAGTTGTGGTGGGCAGCTAAAATCATCAGCACTTCCCGTCTGGCCTGACCAACATATCAGGTCAGGTCGCACAGGACGGTGAAGATCTTCGCCAAACGAGCACCCAGATTCTTGCTTCAACCGGAACCAAGGTTCTTCTGGAGCTTTGACTTCTTGTCGACCGTTTGACCACAGCCAACTTCTTCGTCCATAATGGCCTCCCTTTTTGAGTTCGTATCTGCAAAGGGAGAATATTCTAAAAAAGGAAACATGGAACACCTACTGTCAACAGTAGGCACCCTACAAAATCTCTGAATAAAGACTGATCCAGACCCCATCTGGTTGCTCTTTGAATTCATCGACTGTCCTACAGTCCAGCAGTGAAGGTGGTAGTTGGTTCCACTCATCTATCGCTCTACTCGTGAAGAAGTTATACCTAAGGTTAAGTCGGCTCCTGGGCTTCAGTAACTTCAAATGATGCCCCCTGGTTGACTAGAGCGGTGCTCGGGTAAACAGGCTGTCCGCCTGTCAGCCCGTTGATTAGTTTGAAGGTCTCAATAAGGTCCCTCTCAGGCATCTCCGCTCCATGGAGATCAACCCTAGGGTTTCCAACTTCTCCTTATATGATTTGCCCCTCACTCGCGCGATCATCCTAGTGGTTCACCATTGGATTCTCTCAATGCAATAGATAAATTTTCTCAAGTAAGGCGCCCAAGATTGCACGCAGTACTTCAACTGCGTTCTAACTATAGCCTTATAAAGAGGCACGAAAACCTCTGCCTTCCTCGACGATGGAGCTGTCTTCAGCTGGAATAGATGCCCCTTCTCTTTTTGTGGTGCGGCCAGGAACTGGTCACTGGGTTTGAAGTCCTCGCGAACTACAATCCCAAAATCCAACATTCGGTCTGCTCGAGTGAAGACCGTCGGTTCCGTGGTCGTAGCTACTCGGACCGAAAGCCCTACGGTGTTTAGAACACGACACTTAGTAACGTTCAGCTTCAAGTCTCACTTCTGTGTCCACCGGACCACCTTAACCAGATAAGTTTCTAGTTGATCTAACGGTCTCGAGCTCACTAATTTTACGTCGTCCGCAAAAATAAAGGCAGGGAAAGCAAGGTCTTGGATCAAGTTGTTTATAAACAGCAGAAAGAGGATCGAGCCTAGCACTTATCCCCTAGGCACTCCACGTTGGATAGAGCTTCTCCTACCCGAACTCTATAAGTCCTGTCGGTGAGGAAAGCTTCTATCCACCTAATGAGATCTATTGTAAAACCAAATCCCCTGAGTTTAATTGTTAGAAGCCGATGATTTACCGAGTCGAAAGCCTTCTTGAAGTCCATGTAGCAAACTTCAACTTTCTGTCCACCATCTAAACTTCTTGTAACTTCGTCTAAGAAACAAACACGACCTCTTTTTGAGGAAGCGGTACTGGACGGGGTTAATCGACCTATTTCGAGTGACATGCTCACAAAGGGTATTCCTAAAATTGGTTTCTAGAACCTTGCACAGCGCGCTGGTTAAACTTACGGCTCTATAGTTAGCAGATTACTTCCTACCCTCACTTTTGGATGACTAGGACTGTGCACTCGCCCAAGCTACGGATACTCTCCCAGCCCTTAAGGACTCCTGGAAGAGTGAAGTTATTGCAGGGACGAGCACAGGAGCTAGAGGTCTGATAACGACTGGGTGCAGCCCGTCGCTGCCAGCAGACCTTTAGACGTTTAAGCTCTCCAGGACCTCAGGGACACTACTAGCTTTGACTTGTACATCACCCATTGGAGGTGTTTTGACGCTCTGGCTGTACCGCCCGTCCGTCATCTATTTTGTGGGCGTTTTCGAAGTAGATCTTGAGAGCCCCCACACTTTTCTATATCGGAGACAGACAGCCCTCCTCTGGGGTCTAGCGATCAGAGCGCAGCCTTCGAATGCACATAGCTGTATTACCTATGGGATTTCAGGTGCGCTCTCTTGATGTTTTCAACCTTGAAGTTCATTTTCGCCTGCGTAAAGCAGCTTTTTGGCATAGTTTCGCGCCTCCTTATATAGTAACCACCCTTCATACCCTCCTGCGAGCACGAAAGTCTTCCACCTACGAGTCCTTTCCCCTACGGCGCATTTGACGGCAGGTTTGAACCATGGTGGTTTGTGTATATCACCCCGAGGCTGCAAGGGGGTATGCCTCTCGGTCAGCTCTAATAGCTGGGCTCGGATTACCTCCCACTGTTGATCAACGGACGAATCCGTTCCTTGCGGGAACCATGCTCTGGCTTGGGCATCTCACCTCTAGTCCTCCACATCCATTCGCCGGAAATTTCGGCTTTTCGTTTACAATACATGTTTCTACCAACAGTACATTGTGATCGCTTCTACCGAGAGGAACTTCTTGTCTTAGGTCGCCGATCTCACTCTCCGGCCGCGTGAGGACCAAATCTAAGATAGACTGTCTCTGCCCTAGTCGGATGCGTGTTTGTTTTCGCACGTGCTGGTATAGCGGTGCCGTGTGGAAGCAGTGCATGAATTTATGTGCTGCTTGATTTTCTCCCTCGTCCTCATATTGCCATTCTATTTCGGGGAGATTGAAATCCCCCACTATAATCGGTGAGTGCTTTCCTCTACCGACTGTGGCAATGAGGTCTATTAGTGCCCGATTATCATCCCCTTCAGAGTTTGGTGATCGATAGAGAGTTAATATGCAGAAGTGTCGGTCTTGGTTTCCTACGATGCAGCCTGTGGCTTGTCTTGAAGTCTCAAGGT